TTTTCTTCTTTTTTTTAATTTTTTAGTTTTTTGTTTTTCCTTCTCCTTCTCCTTTTCGTTTTTCCCTTTCTTCTTTTTTACCTTTTATCTTCTTTTCCTATAATTGCAAACATTCTGGCAAATTCGTGTTTTTTCTTAAATGGATGAAAAAAAATTCAAATTCAATAACGTTTCTTAAATTAACAAACCATTTTTCAAATAGATGATTTTTTCGAAGTTGTGAATATTTTTTTGATGCCGTAAACTTATTTTATATTAGTTAACTTTTAAAATTTTGTGAACATTTCTTGAATTCATGAACTTTGTTAGAAATGTGTGAACTTTGTTCCATTTTCGCAAAATAATTTGAAGCCACAATTGTTTTTTTCAAATTCACAAATTTTGTGAGTTCGTGAACTTTTTCTGAAATTTGTGAACTTTTTTTGAGTTTGTTACCATTTTTTTTAGAATTGGTGAGCTTTTTTTTTCCAAGTCATTATTTTTTCAACCTGTGAACCTTTTCGAACACGCAAACTTTTTTCATTTTTTAAAATTTTTCTAAACATTTTGAAAATTTCAATTGTCAACCGGTCAATGGTCGATCGGTCAACCAGTTGAACCAAGCGATGGAGTGATATAGGGCAAGCATGCGGGCGAGCGCGCAAGGTATTGCTAGGCCGGCCCATAATGTGTCGGTGTGGGCGCCAGTCGGAGTTTGCGGCGCGATAAGCGCTATATCTGTATAGGATTACTCCATAAAAAAACACCTCAACTCCCCCTATAGAGGGGAAGCTGCATCTCCACCAAGTCATGGCGGGAAGCCACGGCGCCTTTCATGCCCTAGCCACAGTGGCGTCACCCTCTCCTGAGCAACACCATCTACGGCCAACAACTTCTTATTCCTATCATCCTTTTTTTTCTTATGAATATTTCCTATCATCTTATTGCTGATTGTAATATCGCTAATATTATCTTCTCATCAATTTTTCTCAACATGCAAGTCTTTCTAGAGACTTTCTCGCATGCATGGGCATTCTTTGTTTACATTACTTTCTTTTTAAAAACTAATCGCACAACAAGTCTCGTTTAGTAGATTAAACATAATAAAGGTTACTAAATTAATTCCTACAAGAACAAAACTTTTGCTTTAACCTTTACAGATATTACTACTACAATTATTCTAAGCAATTCAAGTGCAAAAGACGAGAGTCGTAGGACATACCTTCACGATCATGCATTTCCAGACTTCTCTTCCTCAAGGACGAGTTCCTCGCTGCCCGGCATAGATCAACGCTGTGTGGAATTATAAACAAGATTGCGAACTGAAAAGCGGGGCAAAAGTAAAAAAGAGCAAAGCAAAATAAATCTTATTCTAGTTTTTCTTCTTTTTTCATTTTGAAAATTAACTTGCAAAAGAAATTGCAACCGGCAAAAGAAAAATAAGAAAAAATCAAATAAAAAGCAAAGTGTTGGAACAAACCAACACGAGTGTTTAAAACTCAGCGAGCTGAAATACAACCTCATTACAACCTTAAAAATAAATTATGTCATATCTTGATGTAGATATTGAAGTGACCTCCCAAGCATAAGCTTTTGCAAGCCCAAATCGATGAGATCATTGCGGTGGTGGGTAGTTCGGAGTCCTTCCTTGGCTCTATTCAGAGAAGTTGTAAGCCATGTACGCGCGCGGACGTGTTTCCAAGGGACGCGGCGAGGTTGTTGGTCATGTTATTTATAGAGCCATCAAAGTTATGGATGTCGACATACGTGGTGTGTATAGCGCATCTTCTTGGGCTGCTCATCCTTTACCAGAAACTATTCTAAGCAATTGTCTCTCCTTACGAGAAAATTAATCATTTGTATCACTGTGCTGCACTGCAGTTTTGTCTCGGTGTATGTTACATATAAATATTTGCCACCATTCATCATTGAAATATCTAGCATGCTTATGTCATCCAGTCACCTGATTCTCAGATAATGCCCATTATATAATTTGCAAGTTTGATTAGTTCTTGTTACTAACTAAAAAAACTATTAATTGCTGATGCACCGGCCACTGCGGTACCAGCATATATATGCTTCTAGCTAGATAATTAAACTACTGATATGCTGGATGTGCCAAATATAAGGTACTATCAGTACATCTATAATTTTGCGGCGCACAAACTAAAGCACTCTTAAAGTATGAATGTCTAGCTAAGGTTAACCGCCGGCCTAGGTATTCCATGGCATATATCCGTACGACGTAGGGCATTTAATTTGCAATTGCCTTTTCTTTCTTTCTTCTTCTTTGACTCTGCATGCATATATGCTACTGTACTTAATTAAGTAAGATCAGTGAGAGGCCAGCTAACTGCTAGCAGGAGTATTCCATCCTTTCTGCTTCCCTGCCGTTCACCCATTTGTCATTCCCTGGAGGAGAGTACATGCATGGTGCTCTTACGTAGAAGTACTACTTAAGTACATGTAGCTAGGTCAACATGCATGGTGGTCGACCATGTAGGTACATGCATTTCACTTCTGTTGTTATGCTTAATACTTTGGTGGTTATGGCTTCCTACTTTGGTTGTTGGTGCTTACCAGGCGGATTATTCGCCCTTCATTCTTCATAGTATTGTCAACTCAATCATGTCCTAATTATATGTAGGCAAACGTCTGTCCATTACCTCTTCATGGTATTGTCCACTATGTTTTATCCTTCACTCCTACTCGACGTCCGCGGATGCTCCGTGTGGTTGTTCGGCGCTCATGTGCTCATGCTTGGGGAAAAGTTGGTGGATTCTTGTTGTGCATTCTTTGTGCATGGCATATTACTACTTTTTTGTTGTCTTTTTTTCTATCTTCTTTGTTAGATGGTTTCCTCAACACATTGTATTGTCCGACCGCAAGGCTTTATCTATAAAGCATGGTAAAAAAAAACACATTTCAATATAGAGGCGTGCTGCCACCAACTCAAGTGAGAACAGACATAAGTAAATAAATCCAGCCGTGCAGAAAACCTTGTGCTAGCACACGGATTATAAGCTATACGCAGCAGCAGCTAGAGCTAAGCTAGCATTATACTACATATGAATTCTAATATTATATAGGAATTCTTGGCAAGACAGAGCCAGCTGCTGTGAATCATGCTACGTAGTGCAGTCTAGCTGTCTAGGTACCAACCGGGGTGGAGCTCAAGCATGGGTCGACCGGAGCCAGTGGACAGATTGATACTCAATTCGATAGGACCAGAACAGTAGCAACAACCAGGTACTAGATTGAAAACCTTGTGCTAGCACGTAGAAATTAAGCTACATCAGCAGCTAGTTTTTTTTTTTGGAAAAGAAAGAATACCTCCGGCCTCTGCATCATTTGATGCACATATCCATTTAATAAGAGGTCTCAAATAACAATCTCCAGCAGAAACAAAGAACCCCAACGGCTGGCAAACGTTCGCTAGGGGTGGCATTTACAAACCCCCTGATGTCATTTTATGTGTTTTGGGTGAGGCTGCGGGTGGCAATTTTGCAAAACTTTCATGGTTGTTTGTTTAATTTGCAGGGAGGTTTGGGCAAAAAATTGTGAGGTGAGATCTGAGGACGTTCGTCAGAATTGAGTCCCTGGTGAATGTTTGTCAGATAATATTTTGCAAAATAAAAGGGAAAAGGCCACAACGGGCCAAAAGGGGCTAAAATGCCTACACGCATATCCTAGTATTGGATCACCATCTATACGGTTGTACATATGTCTTGATACCATCTCTTAACGTTTACACACACATATGCCATAAGCCCCTCATGTCCACATGGTGAAGTAATGCTCATGTGTGGTCCATCCAGACGCTTGTGGATAACCTGCAATTTTTTACAATCTTTTGTCTGTTAAACACAAAATTATTGTGATGGTTTCAAATAGCCCAAAGTAATGCACAAACTCCCACATGAATTCACAACTTTGATATGCTAGTCAGCGAAGGTATATTAAAAAACACATGCACAGTACGCTACAGAAGCTTGGCGAGCGGACATGCTAGTAAGAGGTGATGAATTGTTTCCTCTTGATAAAAAAAAAGTTATTTACTGCCATGCCATCTACGCATGCACTAGATGTAGATTTAGATTTTCATCTTTTCATCCACATATTGTAGGATCGAAACTCAGCCATCCACTAGATGTGAGATCAATCCTCCGATCTGGCCATTCTCCTCGGCTCTACCAATAAGTATTGCAAGCATATCATCGATAATATTGAAGAGAGCGCGGGATAAAGGTTCTGGGCCATGTCATCATTGATGTTACGAAACTACTACACACACGGCAATTCCAATGAACGACATGAGGATGATAGCTAATCCAACCACTGAAGACGTTTTGCCTTGGACTTTGATGATGGGATATGTCATATCGTCTGCATGTCGTCCGGCCAGTGTCGTGCATGTAGCACTGCTCTTGACGTTAATCCCAATGCTTCCTACTTGTACAAATTAAGTTCATTACGTGCTTCCTCCATGCAGGATCAAAAGCCTTCGTGCTCAAGGCTTGCTACAGTTAAATTTAGCATTATACTCCCTTTTGTCCCGTGATATAAGAACGTTTTTGGCACCAAACGTTTTTAGTGTTAAAAACACTATTATGTTATGGGACAAAGAGAGTACAATATATGAATCGAATCACCTACTTTCTCTGGTCGAAATTAATTGTCTCAACTCTACTATAGCTTTGTACTAAGTTACACTGGAGCTGCGATGATTAATTTGGATTGGAGGGATATATTTCTAATATTATATGGATTCTTGGCAAGACAGAACCAGCTGCGTGAATCATGCTAGCGTGCCAACCAACCGGAGTGGAGCTCAAGTATAGACAGATTGATACTCAATTTGATAGGACAAGAGCAAGGTACATTACATACCGATCAATCCATCCATCGATGGATGATCGCAGCTACAACAACTAGGTACTAGATTGAAAATCTTAGTTGTTGATCCATTGATTAACTACTAGCAATGGTGCGCCTGATGATCCTCTTATTTGGATTAATGATCAGGAGGCGATGATGGAGTATGGCTCGACGATGAAGAGCGGCCTCTGCCGGAGCTGCCGGCACCGCCGCACGCTCCGCACCAGCTCCTGCCTGTCCCCAACCCGCGACGTGAACAGCAGCGGCGCGCTCTCCTCCTCGCCCTTCTGGTCAGCCTCTTCCTCGTCCTCCTGGCCGGACTGCATGCCCGTGGACGCGGCGGCCACCGCGGCAGCCAGCGTGGTCGTGGACGACGGCACCCGGCGCAGCCCCGGCGTCGCTGGCTGAGCGGCTTCTTCCTCAGAAGCTCTGTAGCCGCGCGATGGGAATGGGGTCGCGTTCAGGTCGTCGGTGGCCGGCGCGCCGCCCACGAACTTGTTGATGACTATCCTGGAGCACCGCTGCGCCTTGCCGGACGCCGCCACCACCTCCACCACCGTGCCCCTGTCAACCACCTCCACGTCCTCCTCCTCCTCCTCCTCCTCCTCCTCCTCGTCATGATGTGGCTGTTGCACCATGCTCAGCTTCTGGTTTCCATGCTGCGGTTGCACCATGCTCTGCTTCTCATGTTCGCGAACAGAGGCCGAGGCAGAGGAGCAGTCCACGAAGCAGAGCTTGAGGCGGCCGTCCTCGCGCTGCGCATGGAGGTACCCCTGGGGCTTCGCGGCCACGGCCTCCAGCACGAGGCGCCCGTCGCGGCGGAGCGAGCGCACCCGCAGGCACGGCCCGGCATCGTCGCCGCGGCGGCGCGACATGGACGTCAGCGGAGGCGGGAACGCGCGCTGCGGCCGAGCGCGGTGGTACTGTACCTCCCTAATGGTCACCTCCTCCTCCTCCTCGTCGTCTTCTTGCAATGCCAGCGGCGAGAAGAAGTCGGCGGCGACGGCATCGTCGGTCTGGTGGGAAGTCGGCGGCGGTGCGTAGAGGAGGGACGCCAGGTCGAGGAAGTCGCCGCGGGTGCCGGTCTCGCAGCCGAGGCTCTCGGTGCAGAGGCTGAGGCTCTCGTGGCTCATGGACCGCCGCGCCGTCGGCACCGGGTAGCCGGCCTTGGCCTTAGCCGGCGTGTGCAGGGCCTTGGTGGCGCAGTCGTCGTCGACCGGGGCCTGGATGGCGCTCCACATGTCAAGCTGCTGCGACGGTGGCATCGGCGCCGGCATGCGAGTGTGAGGGTGAGGAGCGACGACCAGCGCCGGCATGAAATGGCACACCGCCACCGTCATCACGAACGATCAACAGGAAGATCGCAGCCCAAGATGGAGAGGAAGGTTGCTGGAGGAACGAGTGAGATGGCTACTTTCGTCAAGGTGTTGGGAGAAGTAGTGAGTGGGAGATGAGTGAGGTGGTGAGGGGGGTTGGGAGGGTATTTATAGGCGGCAAATGAAGGGGGAGCCTTTTCAGCCGTCCAAACACAACAGAGGAGGAATCCACCCATCCATCCTCTAACAAATTTTAGTTAGCAGCTAGTAATACTAGAAAGTACATTCCATCTTTCTTTTCCTTAGGAGCTAATACTAGAAAGTAGTAGTAAATGAACTGGATGTCAATGGGGGACAGCAAGCTGGGGGCATTTCAGCCTCAGCGTCCCACTGTCTTCTGCTTTATTTGTTGTTTCCACTACTTACTAGCATCTTCAAAATTACAAGTTTTATTAGGGTGTCTTTTCACCTACATACTACTTTCCAGCAACTGAAATCATTTGCACTTCAAAAAAAATTGCACATTAGCAAAGTTCACACCAGATAGATTACTCTTTTGTCGCGGGAAAACTTTTGACCTATTCATCTTCAATCATAGCGGTACAACGAACATCAGAAATATAAAAATTACATCCAAATCCATAGACCACTTAGCGTTTGCTACAAGCACTAAAACGAGCCCAAGGTGCCGCCGGCATCGCCCCTTCCTCACCGGTGCCAGGCAAAATTTGTTTTAGTAGACAATCGGAAAGTCATCTTGCTAAGACTCCATAGGACCAGCGCACTAGAACAACAACCGCCGCCATTGAAGGAGTAGTGTAGATCGAAAGGACCCAACCAGAAGACACACGACCGTAGACGAACGAGAACCAGATCGAAGAAAATTCACCAAGGACAGATCCGCCGGAGACACACCTCCACACGCTCATTGGCGATGCTAGATGCACCATCGGGACGGAGGCTACGCGGGGAGTACCTTGTTCCATCTTTAGGGAGCCGTCACCGTCTCTTCTTCCTGATAAGGACACAAACCCTAATAAAACTCGAATGAACACCTAAAAAGGAGCCATCTCGCTGACAAGGGCCGGGTCCACCACGCCGCCATGGTTCTAAGGCCACCAGAGACGACGCCAGTTGGAGGCAGGAGAACCCTAGGATTTTTCTTTTTGGAGGAGGCGGCTAGATGGATTACTCCTTAACAGTGTCGATTCCATAACAAACTGTGGGCTCAGTTGAGCCAACAGCTTTTGGGGAACATAGGTTATAATTATTGTATACTATGAATATTTAAAAAATTAGCCATTGATCCTTAATACTATAGCACTGTAGCACTATTGTCACACACAGCAAAGGCCCGTTTGCAAAATTGTGCTACTAGCAAGTAACTAATATTTTTCTCATAATATCTAGCCTTCACAACTATGGAAGCACATATGTAAGCTCCTTTACTTCTTTTTGTCTACTTTTGGAATCTGTGTGTGGTGGCTTGCTACTGAGTGGTCGAGCTAGGTTAGTGGAAACCAGTCCCCAGCATACACCACCAGTGCCAAGCATGTAACATGGGAGAATGCTCATCACTCATTATTAATTTGTCTCCTTGTGCCTGCCTTAATTCACCAATTAATTAATTAGGCAGCTGCATGCATCACTGATGTCACGCCGCCATGCAAATATCCTCCTCTGATTCCCCAGCCTAAGGCAACCTACTTTGTTTTGTTCCCTCTTAGTGGCTAACATATAGTTACATACAAATATCCTTAATCATGTACTGGGAGCATCTCGTATTGATGTTCTTTTTTCCATATGCTTGTTGACAAATCAGCTTGTTGACAAATCCATCCACAGGTCAGTAGTATTGGTTTAATTAATTAGCAGTAATCTAAAATGCACACATAATAAGGTAATTAAGAGCATAATGCAAATGCAAAATATAATTATACTATATGTATGCAAGTGAGGAGGAGGATGAGAGGGCACGATTCCATCAGCTTTTCAGCTCCTCCCTTTCTGGCTCCTTTCCATCGGTATGGAATAGAATATATGTGCAGGAGGGTGCATGGGTACCAAATTGTTCCAATGATTTAATCATCCTCTTTTCTCCTCCTCCTCTTAATTCTCTTTCTCTTCAAGTGGTACTGTACTCCATGCTTATAGATGCCATTTAGTTCTTTTGGATATGGGTGCATAGTCGTGTCTCATCTTCTATCTCTAGCCATTTCCCCATTGGATCAAATTATTCTAGTGGTGCTTCTACTTCAAGCCAAATACCCATGCCTTCAAAGAAAAAATAAATATCTTGTTTTTGCATTATTGAAATGAAAGCTACTACTAGGTCCCTAATTCAGTCGGAAAAAGTTCATACTTTTATCAGAGAACCCCCGTTTGACATAAAATTAAGACAAATAGTATCATCTGTAAACACGTCCCGCAAAAAAAGTATTATCTGTAAACACAAAGATTAATTAACTAGCTATATGACTAGCTAAATTTTTTTTGCAGGAAATTTGTTAAATCTATTCATCTTCAATCATGATAGTACAACGAACACTAGAAATAATAAAAATTACATCCAGATACGTAGACCACCTAGCAACGACTACGAGCACTGAAGTGAGCCGAAGACGCGCCGCTATCATCGCCCCTCCCTCGCCGGAACCGGGTAAACCTTGTTGTAGTAGACAATTGGGAAGTCGTCGTGCTATGGCCCCATAGAATCAACGCACCAGAACAACAACTGCCGCAGATGAAGAGTGTAGATCAAAAGGATCCAACTTGAAGACGCACGAACAAAGACGAACGACGAGCAGATCCGAGCAAATCCACAAAAGATAGATCCGCTGGAGACACGCCTCCACAACCCACCAATGACGCTAGACGCATCACCGAAACGGGGGCTAGGTGGGGAGACCTTCATTCCATCTTCAGTGAGCCGCTGCCGTCTCGCCTTCCCGAGCAGGACACAAACCCAATCAAAGCTCAAAAAAGATCTAAAAACAAAGCCCTCCCACCGGCAATGGGCGAGATCCACTCCGCCTCCATGGTCCTAAGGCCACCGGAGACGGGATAGACCGGCACCGGCGTCGACAGGAGGCACAATACCCTAGCTTTTTGGAGGCGGCCGTGTACACAAAGAATCTAACAATAAATTTATATGACTAGCTAATTGTAAGATATGTTTTTTATGAAGACGGTGGGTGCTCCGGTTTCTCATTAAAAAAATGGGGAAAATTACAATTAGTGATCATAAGTGTGATCAGGCAAAGAACTCGACAAAGAGGAAAAACACTCAAGACAAAAAAATTAGGCAAAAAACATCTCTAGTTAAACATGCTATATATGCTGATCGCCATCATGTGTATATCTTAGAAATCCTACGGTTGCGGTCGTTCCATAGATACCAGATCGTGTAAAAAGTGAGTGTCAAGCCTGCCTTTCGCTCTTTGCTTTTCATACCGTGAGAGAGATTAGTGCACCATTGTTGGATGCCAGTAGTCGTGTCAATGGCGTTCCGCGACTGGTCATGTCTGAAACAGTCCAAATTTCTTTATATGAAGCTAATATATATATTCCAAAATGAGAAATAAGGTAGCCACATGGCGCAACCGAGATCGTTGTCACACCCTTTTAATTTGCAAAAGATGGTGAACCATGTTTATATTTTACACGCTTGATGTGGTGTAACATCTGATCAGATGCCCCCGGTCGACTTTTGTGTCCTTGCTTTGTCCTCTAGTTGTTCCTGACGAGAGCAAAGAAAATGAAACAAAAAGGGTGGGTATTCGGTGCACTGGCGGAGCTATGTCTATTTCTGCAGGGGCCATGACCCCCCAGCCCATGAATTTTTTGTGAAGAAACTCTATATCGGGTGACATAAATTCAGAGAAATACAGTTTTTGACCACTTTAAAAAATTATATTTCGTCATTTGCCCCCTCAGCTCTTCCTCGCAAGCTCCGCCACTGATTCGGTGCATCACTAGCTACCAATCTATAGCTAGTTGAAAAGGATGCAACAATGGAAATGGAACCGGAGGACGCTAAGCAAAGCAAAGTAGTAAAGGCCAAACTAACTAAAGCAAACGACAGAGAAAGAGATTCTTTTGCATACTTACCTCGGTGTGGGCCCATGCACTCCCAGAATGGAACTTGCAGCTCTTAAGTGTCATTGTCTAGCCAGCTCAAAGTATGTAGCTTAAATTGATTGGAATGAGATGCATGGAGAACATTTGCTGATTTCATCGGGGAAAGTTATGTGGATTACCTTTTTTGTTGTATATTATAGTTGGTGGGTTTTACGATGTGTGCACTTTGGTGTTTTACTATATTCAAAACTAATTAATAACCCACTCAAGTCCAAAGTCATGAAAAATTTATCCAATTCTCCCCCTTGTATATGCACATTGTTGATGAAGTCTGAACCTGAAATCTTTGGCAAAAGAATGTCCATTTCTGTTCCATGCACGAGGGAGAAGGGCCTGGTCAAACAGAAATGTAAATTACAAGTGTGTAACCTATTTTCCAATAGTCCATAAACGAAGCTAGATTTACAAGTTAAAAAAAAATCATCAATCGGATAACATCTTCTAGAACATCTCTAAGGGCATCTTGGCCTGCCCATATGATCTTGGTTTCTTATTTGGATTGATAATTAATTAACTTAAAGAAAAAAAGAAAATCTATTTGATTAACTAAGTGCAAAGTGGTCCACAGGAAAATTCTTTTTCTAATACCTTTGTCTCGTAAATACTAAAGCTTCATTAGAAAATTTCCCTAAATATTAAAATTGCAGTAATAAGTAAATTATCATTATTAGAAGAAGGTCATAATTAGCTACCCCCTCCAGTCCATATTAATTGTCGCTGATCCCAACAACAATTAATATTGATCATTGGCTGACTCATTAAATAGGATTTGCACACTAGTGCAGAACCGGGCAATAGCACCGGTTCGTAAGGCCCTTTAGTGCCGGTTCCATAACCGGCACTAAAGTGTGGGCACTAAAGCCCCCCCCCCCTTTAGTACCGGT